CACATTCTCATCAATAACTCTCGATCAGTTCGATGAACTTGAAAAATTCAAACGGCATCAAATAGAACTTGTTAAAACCTTTGATATTATGTCATCATATCCTCTCAACATGAATCAAATGCTACGATAATTAGCAATAAACGTGAATTTAACGGTAAAAATCTGAAGAAACTCCAAAAACTCCATAAAAATTTGTGGGAATTCCATTATATCCTCTCAACATGAATCAAATGCTACGATAATTAGCAATAAACGTGAATTTAACGGTAAAAATCTGAAGAAACTCCAAAAACTCATACATTTTTTTGAAGATTATTTAATGCATTTTCACATGAGTGCAACATGCCAGCATCAATACGCAAGCTCAAGCTCAAGTTCAATACGAAAGAGACAAAGGAATTATTAACACGAACCATTTACTCACAGAATGAGCAACATGAAAATAATATTAATAATACCGATATCAACAATAAATAAAGTAATTAAAGAACCAATTATTGATCTTAAAAATATTAACATGAGTACATATACGATGAAAATAATGAATGAGTTATTTGTACTCAATAATTTGGCAGAATCTGTCGTCTGAATTTTCAGGTGGGATTTGTTTAATAATTTTTCTCAACATTAATTCGTTTTTTTATTTGATTTAGATTACAAGCCTGCGAGATGCTGTGATCTGCATGGCTTATTATTTCAGCAAAAACATCAAAGAAGACTCTTATGTCGTCCTGGGAGATACTGGAGGATCTGTGAGAGTTCTAGCATTCTCTCCATTTGACAGAGGCCCCTTCAAACAAACTCCTCAACGAGAAACTTTGGAAGCCTCTTACGAAGCCCTCCTCAAGGTGCTCATTCCATGCAGAAATTTGTGCTTTCAGAAGTTCAGTAATTATTTCTATCTCTCAGGGACACATTGATGGATTACTCGTGACAGAATTCAATCGAGTTCACAGCGATTGGGTCTCTGAAGTGAAGTATTATGGAGGCCTTCGAGGATTTATTTCCTGCGCCAAATGTTCACAATGTTCTTTGCTGCTGAGTGATGCCAGTGGCACCAAAATGAGATATCAGTTTAGAGTCAATATGGGAATCTCTTGCTGCACTGTTTATGAAGGTTTGCGCAAATCTTGTCAGCATTCCAAATTCCAAGCCTGAACAAGCCTAACATTTTGGGAAAAAAAGAAATTAAATCGGGCCAGTAGTTTTTGAGATATGGAAGAAAAAGTTTTTGTACAAAAAGTGGAATATCTTCTTGTTATCGTGAGAACTAAGATCATACAGAATTTCTATCTTAATTATTTTTTGCGCTGTTGCACTCACAGGCGATTCCAAGGAATAAATGAAAAAGAATGAATTGCTGTCTCTCGGTATAGTGATAATCATGACCATGACGAGTGTTTGATTTTTTTTAATGGAATCAGTCGAACGGACGTACTCAACAAATCAAGCGGAATTTTAATTAAAATTTTGACTACTAAAAATACCAATTGATAACCAAAATTTCAGAGTTATTGGGCCCATAATTTTCGAATAATAGGGACTGTTCTGGACAAATACTACACAGAGAATTTTTTTTAAAACATATCGTCATAAATCATATCATTCCTAGATTTTTTCAATGGAAAATAGCGAATCAAAAAAATTACGATTGCATAGCTTTCATTCGGAAGAATAAATAAAGAATAAATTAAAAAAGTCTCTT